ATATTTACTCACAAACAATTCCCATCAGGGGCATCTCTAGGGGACATTCAATGCAAGGTTCCATTCAGATTTCTGAACTGATTTGGAAAAGGCTGTTTTTGCACCTATGCAGAAACATCTAATCCTTTCAAATTAACACAGAGGGGTTTGCTTTGATTTAGTGATTCGAAACAATGTTTTGATTTGGGAATTTAATTCACTAATTTGGTGGGATTGCCTTCAGATCATGCCTTGGGATCAAATGTTTGCACAACTCCAAGGGTTGCTGAAGGATTCCTGTTGGTTAAACTCTGAAGTCAGCACCCAACCCTTCTTCCATCCCAAGACAAAACAAATAAAAACTCCCCTGGCTGTATATAGATTTTTCCTTGGAAGTTGGACTGCTGTGGTGCAAAGCCTGGCTTTTCCCCACATCTGCCCAGACTAAATACCAGGTCCAAAGTGAATCTGTGTGACGTATTTAGGTTTTGAGAGGTCCTTGGCAAGGCTTTGCAGATCAGAAGCAGAACAAAATTACAGGACCGATCCAGAGTTCCCCAAACATCTATTTCAGAGCCAAAAATATATTTTTATACGCAAAGGTATATTCTAAAGGTGTCTTATGGCTAATATCAGCTCTCCCATCACCTCTGGGAATAATTGTTTTGAGTCTGTAATTTGTCTGACTGCTTTAAAGAAGAAGGGGAAAGGGAAAAGCCCTCGCCATTATTTATTAACATTCCAAAGACCAACAAAGACAGATGTGTTTTGCAGGAGAGATTGGAAAATGTTCTGGGAACAGCATCTGAAAACTGGAAAAAAGACCTATTTATATCAAGTCGAAGCTGAGGGTTACTTGCAGATGGTGGTTTATTAGAAAAATGTATTTGTTAATGAACGTAGCTTTGTACATGATTGCTATACAGATGTTTCTGTTTATTTTTACCTTGGGTTAAAAATCTGCTGGAGGAGTCTGTTGCAATTTGTCACTGCTATTGTTTGGCAAGAAAATAATTGCATGCAAAGAAAATAATGAGATTGCAAAGGCAGATGAATCTGTTTGCTCTCCTTGTCTATTAAAAAAAACCCAACCCCATTAAAAAAATTGAACATGAAGATTGAAGTCAGGATAGCACAGAACATGGAGGGTGTTTCCTGCATTGTATAACCCAGGTTAATGACAGTGTCAGGGGCTGGATCCAGAGAACACTGAGCAGAGGAAGAAAATAGATTTATGCTGTAAATAGATTTGTACTGGTCTGTGACTTTTCTGGAGTGGGATGAATCTCTCCAACAGCAAAATAAATGCAACATTTCCCCTCAGAGAAATTCAAAAGGAATTCTGATGCATCTGGAGAATAAGGCAGAAAAACAGGTCCTTTATTTTCCCCTAGGAGAGGAAAAAATGTTGAGAATCTGCGAGGAAGTTCAGCATAGCACTCCCAGATTCAAATGGAGGCATGCAATGCTTTTAACCTAGGATCTGTTCCATCATGTGATTGCAACTTAATTCTCAATAGGTGTTGCCCCCTAAATGCTAATACACATCGTTGAACAGGCCAGAGTTTCAGTTGAATTACAATATGGGCGGCTATATAAGCTTACACATTGCTTCAAATGTATTTTGAAGGAGGAGGTGGGACTGTTGCTCATCCCACCTGACTGTGAAGCGCAAATGACAAAGCCAAGGGATTAAAGAAAATATTCCCCCCCCCCACTTCTGGGGAATTCTGGAGTGAAATTTTCACACAGGGAGCACATAGGGAAATTTTCCTTAAGGGAGCACCTGAACTTCAGACCATTGTTTTGGACCACATTGATTAGGATCTTCTACAGCTTTTGCAAGTCTCAGAGGAGACAGTGAAGTGATTCAAAGTGAGGAGAAACACCTCACCTGGGCCAATCACATGGCTTCTTCTCTTGAACAAGGTGCATCATGTTTCCTTCTTGTGCAAGGAAAGCATAGGTGTATGCTTGCAAATGTCCAGACGTTCTTATCGCTGTGGAGTCCTTGGGGTTCTCTGAGCTTGGTTCTTTTCTTGCAAACATTTCATTACCCA